AATAATAGAGATATACCTATTTTCTGGTGTCTAAATAGCTTCAGTTTCTAAGTATCTATATTGAATTCAAGATAATGATATAATCTCCAAGAAGGTGAACACAATACTGATTCTCAAATTAATATATATTACAGACTTCCTATTTTAACTGCAACACAAAAAAAAGTTAAAATTATCAACATCAACAATTAAATGACTAGTTTTTTTTTTTTCTGTTGGAGTCTTTTTACAAACTCAGAACTTTTAGTTCATCCAATTTATTTTACCTCTCTGAAATAATACTTATATTATTACTTTTATTAAAAAGAATTAAATCAAATTGACATTTTGTGAATATATTTAATAAATATATAGTTGATATTTTAAGAATTTCAGAATATTAGAGATGGTTATGTATATAGTACAGCCAAATATTTTGTCCTCCCAGAATAGAGTGGAACATTAAGTTATAGCATTTGTAGCTCTCCATTGTAACTCAACACAAGAATGACTGAGGCATGGCCTGTAAAGGCTGGAAAACTAATTGCTCTATTATTCATACTCTAGTCTTTTTCACTTCAGGGGCACTTAAAAATATTCACTTATATCTGCTTTCTAATTACAAATCCCCATACAGAGTGTCCTAACCAGAAAATGGCATTATTATTATTCTGGCTTTCAACATACTTAAGCATTTTTATTTGCTGAGAGTTTTTCTCTTTTCTTTCTTTTGCAAGCATGTTTAGTAACTAATTACCATTTCTGCCTTTTTATCTTAATTGCTACAAATTTAGGGACCTGTGTCATTAAAGCTTTAGCAGATAAAGGCATTTGCTTAAACAGTATCTCTATTTTACTTGCACATATATAGCCTTATTAAAATGGCATTCTTATTCATCTGTGCATTCATTTTCTTGAGAACTAAACAGTAATTTATATCAAAACTCTGTCTTTTTTGTACTAGATATTGGAAACTTTTATATTTTAGAAGACCAGGGGAACAATTTGTTTCCTACCACCAAAGTGTGATAGAAATACAAAGATTGTTGCTACAACAATGTTATGCACAACATCACTCTCTCCCAGGATTCAATTATTTAATGGAATCCAATATGGAAATGGTTCACTTTATGAATTATAAAATTGTCAACAGTTTAGTTAGTTACTAGTAAATGTACACTTAAAATTTTGGGTTTATCAATTATAGTTTTCTATAGAGAATTGCATTAACTAACTATAGATTAAGGTATCACTGATGTGTAATAGGCAATTTGAAAGTTGTAGTAATCTTCACATACTAAGGAAACACTTCACACTCTGAGATGGACTTTGTCTCATCAGGTGCTTCACTGGTCAGGAGAACCCTGCCTAAACTGTCAGGAGCAACTTTTTTATACACAGTCATCCTCTCCACCTTTTCTTCACTTCTGCTATATTTCACAGATATCACATTTAGAATTTGAAAGTGTTGATTGGGAACTGCTAGCTGGCATTAAATTTATATATATATATATATATATATATATATATATATATATATATATATTTTAAATAATCATAACTATTATTTGTAAAACTTGACCACATATACTGTCATACTTAATTCTGCAGGGAAGATGATTAAGTGTACTTAAAAACAGGTAAGTATGTGTATGTCTGCATAATTAATATTTTTCCTTGCAGCATATGTAGAAAAATATACATACATTGAGGCTTTATATATTTCTATTTGTTTCATACAAGAACACACAAAAAATCCTACTCAGTACACTGTGCATAGCAAAATAAGTTGATATTTATGACTAATTTTTAGAAGTGTTGGGCACAGAGGGTGCCCTCATTAGCAAAGATTGGCCCCACTGACTGACTGGTTAATGAAAATATTGCTCACTGGGAATAACTAACATATCTTTTGATTTTAATTAAAATAAAAAATTGTGTTATCCAAATATGTATATAGTACATATCTTGCTTTCTTTCATAAAAATCATTAGGTTTTCTTGAAAGAAATCATAATAATTACATTTATCAGGGAAGCTGAAACCCATGTGTATTTATTAAAATTCTGTGTTCACAGCAAAAGAAAAATTCATTTTTGTAGTAAACAAACAAAAGACATAATAGTAGTTTTAGTTTTAAAGACTGGAATTTGGAAGGGAGCCTAGATTAAATCAAACTATTCCCTAACTTCATTGGATGAACAACATATAGTAAAAAATTATATTGAGGAAATTATTTTCTATATTTATTTGTCCTTTTTTTTAAAAAAAGATTCTACAGCTTTCAAAAGCTATGTAGCATTAATAAAATTATATGGGAAAGTAATGCTATTTGTGGAGGATCTGTAATTATAGTGCTAATAACTATAATACATAAAAATACTGCATTATTCAGGTCTACAAAAGTAATTATATAATTTTTTTCTAATTACTTTCTATTGTCCCCATAAATTGGCTTTAAAATCACAATTCATTTTTGAATAAATTTCTTTCTTTAGCATATGTTTTAATAAATTATAACTAAGAATGTAATATAAACATTCCAAATGACAAAAATTTGAACAAGGGTATATTCTTAAAATACTCTCAGCACTATATCTTACAAACTCTCATGTGTAAAAAGCCACTGTAGATATTTTTTGAATTTTCAAAAAAAAAGCTCATGAATGTACTCTTCTGCAACACCGATTTCCATAAAGTACTGTTTGAAAGGCAGTCATTATGCGTAGCCCAAACTTTAAGGGTGGAGAGTTATGTTCCACCTCTAAAATGAAAAGTTTCTATATCAATTTTTTGAAATCATTCTGTTTACAAAATGTCTCTATTGTTCCCTAATTACTTTTTACAGGATTTATTTTTATTTATTTATTTTAATTATTTATTTGGGGTTTTTTTTAGAAAGAGAGGAAGGGAAACAACAATTTATTATCAACCACTTATTTTTATCAGTATGAACTCACAAATATTCATTTTACATTTTGCATAAAAATTAAATCCTCTTTTATTTTCTGGCTCAAAATATTCTAGCTTTGCTCACCAGGAGTGCCTTCCATTGGCTCATGTGTCCCTTTGACACACAGTCATGGTTTTGTTTTTTGAGTAATTCCTTGGTTTCTGGTATTACCATATTCTCCACACTTGTTCATTTTGTCTCCTGGTCTTAGAATCAGATGTCTAAGGAGAGCTGATTTCTTTCACTGGGGAGTGGCATGGAAAAAAAATCGAGGCACCAGGCAAACTTCATTATTTTTAAAATAAAATCAATTTTTTAAACTTTATTGTGATTACTGACTATTCTTTATCTTTAAAGATGTATAATTAAATATGTATTAATATCCTACCAATTAAACATTATAAAATATTGTCTACTGTATGGATTTTACATATATATGTTACAGAAAGTATTTATTTATTTATTTTATTTTATTTTTTTAAGATTTTATTTATTTACTTTTAGAGAGGGAAGAGAGGGAGAAAGAGAGAGAGAGAGAAACATCAATGTGCGGTTGCTGGGGGTCATGGCCTGCAACCCAGGCATGTGCCCTAACTGGGAATCAAACCTGTGATACTTTGTTTCACAGCCCATACTCAATCCACTGAACTACACCAGCCAGGGCTAGAAAGTATTTAAATTTACAATGAAACTCTTGATGATTTGTCTTTTCTGGCAGGGAATGTGGCATTTATATGACAGCTCATTAAATCTATATTCAACTCAATGAGGTAGATGTAACTTCAACTCCATTTAACGGATAAGAAAACTATAACCCTTTATGTTTAAACAGATATAAAATGTTTGAAGTTACACATGTAATCATATTTTAATTAATAATTATAAAAAAGATACTTTCTAAAGAAATTACATACAACTTTTAAAATATCCAAATTGATTATATTTAGTTAAAAAGTATGATGGTTAGTTAATTTCATTAACTCAACTTGCTGAGCTATTGAGTGTCCAGATTAAACATTTTTTTCTGGGTGTGTCTGTGAAATTGTTTCCTGGTGAGATTAGTATTTGAATCAGTGAACTAAGTAATGTAGCTTGCTCTTCCCAGTATCTTTGGAAATCAGCCACATTTGAGAGGGTCTGACTAAAGTAAAAAGTGAAGGAAAGGAGGATTTCTTCTTTCTTGCCTGCCTACTTGAGCTGTGCTGGTTTTCTTCTGTTTTTGAATTGTTACTTATACCATTGGCTTCCCCTTGTTCTTAGGCTTTTGGACTTAGACTGGAATTGCACCACTGACTTTTCTGGGTTTCTAGCTTGCAGAAGGCAGGTGGAGGGACTTCAAAACCCTCATAATTGTGTGACCCAATTCCTCATAATGAATCTCTATAAATTTATATAGTATCTATAAATATATGTAATCTTTCATTGGCCCTGCTTCTCTGGAGAACCCTGACTGATACACTCACTAATGGATACAGTTTTCAAATTTTGTGGCTTAGAAAAAGCTACTAAAGTTTAAGGAAGTATCCAGTGTTTTTTATGTGCTAGTTTGCATAGTAATTTATCAAAATCTATATTTTACAAGGCAACCATAAATTTATTTAGCTTTTGAAAAAAATTATAATTTCTTAACTGAAGGTAAGATGTATGAACAAAATTGAAACCAAAGGAAAAGTATCTGTCAATGGCTGATTATAATTTAAATTAAATATATCTACTTTCAAAAATTAAATAAATGATTAGATTACAATGTGAATTTAAAAAAAAACCTTGGAATTTCAAGAGAAATTAAGTAATAAGAAAAGACATTTAAATATGCATATAATATAATAGTTCACTAATATATTTCTTACTTCTCAGGATATCATTTGGTTGTAATGGGAGCCTTTCTAATAAAAAATAAGACATTATTTTAGTGGATGAAAAACAAAGTTTATTGGTTGGGCACTTTAGAAGGTGGCTTTAAGAAAATGAAGGACTAATAATGTTGTTGGAAGACTGAAATGAGTTCAGACAAGGGAGAGAAATGCTTTCTAATTACGTTTGTTTTTCCTTCTCCCTTGGAACATTACCTTTAAATGGAGCCTCACATTGGCAACAGTAATTGCCAGAGTGGCCAATGCAGGTAGCTCCATTCTTGCAGGGATGTGAAGCACACTTATCTGTATCTATGTCACATTTTGTATTTTTGGAATATAGTATTATGCATTTTAAAAGCAAGCAGATACCAGGTTATAATTCTTAAATTGGCCCAAATCTTTTAGTCCATTTGGGATGATATCTAAAACTAACCTCATCACATAAGAGCATCACATATATTATTGTCAGAACCAATTTATTTCACCTGACTACAAACTGCAACAAGTTTTCTCGAAATTATATAATGCAGAGTAATCTCCTCTGAGTTGGTAGACATTCAAAGTGTGCTCGGATGTGAATTAATTTATCTTCTGCTTTGCAATCTAAAGATGGAATAGGATGATTCAAGTCATTGGGATACAAATCAAATGTTAGGTTAAATGAAAGAAAAAAGGAACAAAAGGGATATATTACTGAATGAGTAATTTACTGATGTATGTTCCACAGGGTAAGTGTTCTTTACAACACACAATTGTCAAAGTTACTTACCAATAAAGCCAGGGGGACACATACATTTGAAGTTATCCATGAGTTCTGCAGATGTAGTATTATGGATACTGGGTGATGAATCAAACTTCTTTCCATTAATTTCATAAAACAGATCTATATAGACAGAAAGGAAAAGAGAAATGTCTGTTAATTATATAGTCAACATTTTTAACTAGTTCTGCAATGCAGATTTTCCATTAATTCTCCAAATATAAATTGTGCTGCCATAACTAAACTTTCATATTATAACCATTTAGATTATTTTTTAATTTGCAAAAAGTTGAAAACAGTGAATTAACACTGAAACAACACTGAATTAAGATTTACAATAGCTTGGAACCGGAGATTATTATGCTAAGTGAAATAAGCCAGTTGGTGAAAGACAAATACCATGTGACCTCATTTATAACTGGAATTTAATGAACAAAATAAACAAATGAGAAAAATGGAACCAGAGAGGTAGGAACATGGAACAGACTGATTGCTGTGTAAGGGGAAGAGGATGAGAAGGAATGGTGGAAGGAATGGGAAGGGATTAATCAAAGAACATGTATGAATGACTCATGGACAGAGACAACAGAGAGGGGATTGACTGTGGACTAGAGGGGTGGGCTGGGTGGGGGAGCAAAAGGGAAACAATTGGGACAACTCTAATAGAATAAACACTAAAAATAAATGCACAAAAATAGAGGAGAGCTAATTTTTAATATATGTTAAAATGTTTTATTTATTTATTTTTTTAGAGAGGTGAAGGGAAGGAGAAAAGAAGAGAAATATCAACATATGGTTGCCTCTCTTGTGCTCCCCTACTGGGGACCTGGCATGCAAGCCTGGCATTGTGTCCTAGACTGCGAATCTGGCCAGAGACCCTCAAGCCAGCACTCAACCCCTGAGCCACACCAGCCAGGTACTTTTTTTTATAATTTTTAACAAGAGTAGAAAAATTTACATTGACACATAACACATTATACATACAACTTAGATAAGGAGAAATTTTCTTAATATTCTTAATTTTTTCTCTAAAATGGTGAAATGAATATGGGCTGGAGAAAAATTAATGTAATATACATCTAAAAAGAAAGAAGCATACCTAACTAAATAGAAAATTTGTTTTTGTTACTATTATCACTGACAAAATGATATATTAAGTGAAAATAAGAAATTAGAACCTAGGTTAAACTGAAGAAAAAGTGAAAATTAAAGATAATGTGAGTGCATAAATACTTTGTTTAAACCTTAAAAATATTTGGTAATTTTCTTTATGAATCCACTTTATGAGAAAAAAAAGTCACATATAAAACTTTGTGTTTTTTGGTTGTTGTTTATAGATGGGGATGTAGTAAACTATATCTCTCAAAAAGATCTTTTTTCCTTCTGTCATGTAATTTTAAGAAATCACTTTGAGCTTTTGTTGATATTAATAAATAAACATAAAGTTTTTATAATGGCCACATATTTTCTGCAGATGATCATTCTTAAGAAGTTTAACTACATAAAACCAGTCTTCCAGATTTGGTAAAAAACATTTATTATTTTCAAAACAAATTTCAGTTTCTTACTTCTTAAATGAAAGATAGTATTTTTATTTAGCAATTAATTATACATATAGAGGTAGAATTAGGAACAGTTTCTTTGGGAGTTAGAATTTATATAACATTTTGGTTTATAATGTTGGCAATTTGATCATATTTTTTTTGCATCTCAGGAAAGTTTCAAGAATCCTACTAATTTTTCCAATCTTAGAAAACAAAGATTTGCCTATTATTAGATTTTTTCTCTAAATGTAAATTACCATCCATATTTTAAAACATGACCAGCTCTTTATCAAAATAAGTCATCTATCTTGATCATGGTGACTGTAAGAGTTATCACAGTAAAAACATGAAATGTGGTATAAAAAGAAATATTACATTTTTAACATAAGCACTCAAGTTTGTAAATTTCCTAAGAAAACACACTGATACATTTACAAAATCAAAATATTCATTCAACAATAAATATATCTGTTTCTGTGATGATATGAAGATAGTAAAACAACCTAAGCAGATACTATATATTCAAAAGTTATTTTGGAAACATTTGATTTGCATGCTTATAAGATAAATCGTATCTTCTAAAACTAAAGAGTTACTTCCACCTCAAATTAATCTTCAATTGTCGTAGGCTGTTTTTCATGTGTGCCTGCCTTGAAATTCATTCTAACACAGGAAGTTAACGGTGCAGTGAAGACCAACACAGGTGTGTCCCTTTACACAGGCAACACTTAGGCACTTGTTCACCTCAACCTCACAGTTATCACTTAGAAACACGCACAAGATTCATTTCATTACAAATGTGTTACTTGATGCAATCTGCAACTAACTCTAAGATTATGTTTAGAATATATGAGATTTTCAATTTGTCTGCAAAAAATCAACATATTGCCTAATACCATCAACTAGGTATCTACTCTGTTTTAGACTTTATGTGACAGCAACTGTGGCTTTATTCTCATCTCAATGAACCTAAATGAATTCAAAAGTTTCATTATTTCTTTAAAATTAAACACATCCATGAATGTTTACGTGATTGTACAGTGTTAATCAAATTGACTTTATTTGCTGCCTTTTCCTTCAAAAATTGTATGTTATATCCATTTGGGTCCTGTCTACAATTTTTTTAAGTCAAAAAGAAAAACTAAAAATCTCTCAGCTCCTTGTTTCATTAAATTACCATTATTTTGCAAATTAGCCCCCAAATAGATGGAGTGCAAGAAGAAGCTGAAGAAAGAAGCAGGCCACTCTATGTAGGTGGCAGGTTTAATAAGCAGGGGAACGTACATAGAAGTCTTGTCTTGGGCGACTGCAAGAGGAGTAGAATCTCCTCACTGCCCTCCAGAACTTTAAATGTTTAGATAAAGGCCTTAAATGTGTTCAATCACTGTAATCAGTCCTGATGGTTTCAATGACACCTTATTCTCTCCAAGCCATGCCCTTGAAACAGCTCCCAGTGTGGAAATTGTGGAAATGCCAGGTGGGAGATACACTCTCAGGATGAAGTGAAGAGATGGGTGTGGAGTGCCCAATTGTTACAGTTTTCTTGATTTATTGATCATTTTGCCATCATGAAATTTTGCCCTTTGTCTTACATAATACTTCCTATCTTAAAATCTGTATTGCTTAATATTAATTATGCTTAATGGTTTACATGGCATATCTTGTAAACATCATTTAAGAGTTAACATATTTGAATCTTTGAATATGAGTACATAATTAGACTTGTTTTTTATCCATTCTGACAAATACTCAGCCCAACCTCCCACCTATCCTCTTGAATTCCCAAGTGCTAACATCATATCTTATTTTTTTCTCCCTGCACTCTCTGCATTCAGACTTTTCTTATAATCCTATAAACATATTCTTTATATTCTTAGTTCTGGTTCTGACTTTTTACTGAATTCCCTGTGCCTGTTTCAAATTTACCCCTAGTCACATTGTTATTTCAAATTAAACACCTTAGAAAACTGTCTTTCTCCAATTAAAATATTATCTGTGCCACAATAATTCATATATTCAATTGTCTACTGAATTCTCCTCAGGTGCAAAATTTAGAATTCACTTTTGATTATTTATTCCGTATCTGATAATTAGGAAATGAATGTATTGGTAATTATAATACATACCAGTAAATTTTATTTGCCTAGGAAGCTTATTTACATGCAATTCTATTTACTACAATATTTTGTATGTCATTGTCACATTCTACACTGTAGACTTTATTAAGAGTCACATTTATAATTTACTTTAAAAATAGTTTAGCGAAGTGACAGGAATATAAGTCTTATTTAAAGACAGATGAGGGAAATGGAGCTATATATTATTAATATGTATATGTTATTTAAATTGAACATCATTCAAATAAATATAACATAGAATTTAACCAGTTCTTTAAAGAAAATATTCTTTATGTAGCTTATTTAGTGACAAAAAACTATACAATTCAGGATAATTAGGAAATATTGTATATTTTTCTATGTATGTCAATATATAGATGAAATTTTAAATTCAATTTTGAATTATATATGTATGTATATACACACATATATATTATATTAAGTGTTATATTTTATAACAAATTCCAAAATATTTTGAAGAACTTTTTCCAATTCATATGCATATGTATATATGTATATTAGTTTTCACATATAATCATTGAAAATTTTAGTTTTTTTAAATTATAAAAATTTCTGATTTTATTATTTTAAAGGCATTTATTACATATGCTGACTTATGGCTCTATATTGTACAATTAACCTAAACATTTATCTTTCCACACTCAAGAAATGTCCTATAAATATAGTAAGGAAAAAGAAGGGACTGGGTCTTCAAGAGGGGATGTCTGGATTAGACTGGATATTTCACAAATTTGAAGTTGATGAAAACTGACAAAAGTAAGATAATGATGTAACATAAACACAGCCGAGGAGGCAATGGAAATAGAGTCATCTTCTTGGTTGAGTCCTGGAAACAGATCAAGACCTCTTACAATTTAAGGAAAATTCAATTGGCAATAGATAAA